ACATAATATAAGCCATTGTCTTTTATTGTACCTATAATACACAAAGACAACCTCCAAGATATTCTATATACTAATTAGATTAAATATTATGGAAATATCCATAATTCTAATGTCTTAGCTCCTCTCAGGCGCTCTTTATGTGAGTGTGTATGTATAAAAGAAGAATAGTCAGATTGGACTAGCAGCTCTGCGCAGGATGTAGGGTATCACCTAGTCAGGCATTTCCAACTAGAGCACACTTTAGAGTTCTGTATATAGAAAGGAAACCCGAGATTGCATAGTTGGCACTAGAATTTTAATTAGAAATATGTTCAGTTGTTTCTTTGGTGACTAAAATCTATATTTCGCACACGTAGACCCAATGATTCATCTAGATTTCCAAGTGAATAATAATAATGTGTTTGGCATTGCTGGAATTTGTCGAACGTTTATTGGGCATGAAATATGACGAATGTGTCGACTATAAAAAAGGCGGCGGTGGCAAAGGAGAGCACTCCGGAGGCCAGGATGGTGTTCTTGTTTCTGGTCAGCTCGACGCGGTGCATCCAGCGATCGAATATGATGGCGCCCGTCGACACGAACAGCACACAGCCGGAGACCGTGAAGAGTATATCGATGCGCTTGTCCAGCTTGGCGCCCAGCAAGTGGCCTGCAATTGCAATGGAATGGAAGGCACATTCGTGCAGTCAGGCTGGCGGGCAACTCAGCGTGGGATCATCGTGGGGCGATATTACCTATGCTCAGTGCACTGCATATGATCAGGTAGCCGGTTAGCGTTCCACAGACGAGCATCGCCTGGCTGCTATAGCTGTGATCCGTCACGCTCTCGATCAATATGATAATGCTCGCCGTGAAGATCTGCGATTAGCGCTTAAAATACTGGATCAGGCGGGAAGCTGCACGAACGAGTGGACAATGGAACATTGGAACAACGGGACGACGGAACAGACAAACTCACACGGAACAGAGTTAAAGACAAAATCAACTGAGGAACATAGGTAAAGACATAGGTACAGTTACTAACTGTAGAAAAGTGCATTTACAAACATTTTGCTCATTTTTATAGAAGAGGAAAACGCAAAGAGAAGGAAAAGCACGAGATTCTTGGTTAGCAACAAAAATGCTGCATTGTGATTTTTCCTATATTATGAACATGTCTTTAAATTATCTGAGTAAGTCTTGAAARTACAGAAACATTTTAATAAAGACTCTATTTTAAGCTAAGTTTTATCTAAGATCAATTATACACCAATCCA